TTCAGCCCAGCACTCAGGAGGCAGAGGCAGGAGGATCTCTGTGAGTTCCAGGCCAGCCTGGGCTACAGAGCGAGTCCCAGGACAGCCACAGCTACACAGAGAAACCCTGAGATCTGAGATGAAGAGAGCGGAAGTGACAAGGCACTGCTCAAAAAAATCCAAGATCAAAGGAAGTTGACCGGAAATTTTATTTGCATAAGAATGTTGACCCTCGCTTAGCTCCTGTCCCTTGCAAAAAAAAAAACAAAACCGACTTGGGCTACATTTCCCTTCACGCCTCTGACCGCATGGCCCCATAGAGTATGGCCACCTTTAGCTTCCGGAGCACCGGATCAAGGTGACGTCACCCTGACGGAGCCCTAGGAGAACCCAGAGAGCGCTTCTAGGCCCCGGGGCGGCGAAGGTTACGTCATTTTCCCAGCAGCCCAACCTCGCCCGGCGCTGTCCTTAAGGCCGCGCCCGGCCCCCACTCGGCGCGCAGGCGCAGACCAGCCCTACGCATTCTACGTAACGGACGGCTGAAGCTACGTGAAGTGTAGAGTGCCGTGACTGAGCTACCTGTTCTGGACCGTGTCCCAGTGACATCGCGGTCCGCAAAAATCTTTGCGACCTGAAGGCGGAGGCCACACACAGGCAGGCTGGGTGGAGGTGGTGGCCTCCGAAGTCCCGGGCCGGGGTGCAGCCTCAGGTGCAGGTAGGTAGCGGGCCTTGACATGCTGCTAGTCGGTGTGGCCGAGCCAGGCCGAGCGGTGACTAAGTTGCGTGGCCGCAGAACCAGGGTACTGTTTCTCACCTAACCAACCCTTTATGTCTGGCTGGTGGGGACATGCATCAATCCTCGCAACTTATCTCTCCCGAATTTAAAAAAAAATAATTAAACTTCTGTCCATCCTCTTCTGGTCCATCTTTCTGTTGGACTTGAGGAGGGTTTGGGGTCTTATGGGTGGCTTTGAGCAAATTCCAAATCAGCAGAACAAAATCTGAGAAAATTTCTGGTGTGCAGCAGAAGAATGGAGCGTAGACACTGGGCTTCTCCGTGGTGGTGGAGGTAGGACCAGACACGAGAGAGAGGTTTGGCAGAAGCAGCCACTTCTAGAGTCGACCTTAGCTGAAGGCTTCTAACATTCAACTTGTTTGTAGCCAACACTTTGAAAGGAGACGGGAATGTCTACATCGTTTCTAGAAACTTCATCGCTTTGACTAATGCCATAAAGACCCGAAAAGACGAGCAATGATAGCTTCACTCACTCGTTTTTTTTAAGTCTGGAGTCAAGTGATTGAGAGATTACTGAGTGAGCTTGCCCAAGATAATCAGACAGGCATGTTAATGCATGTGCATGGCCTGGATTCTTGTGTTTTCTGCTTCAGAAGTCCTAGAGTCTGGGTGACCTGGCAGAGAGTTGTGCATTTGAGAAATAGGTCGACAGGTGCAGCTGAGTCTTATTAGAAGGGAAGCCCGTGCACAAATGCCTTGGATAATTTTAGCTTAAATAACCCTGAGGGAGCCTGGTTGTATGAATTGCACTAGAAATACTTTGGTGAAGCTGGGCGCTGGTTGTGCCCGCCTTTAATCCCAGCGCTTATCCCAGGGAGGCAGAGGCAGGTGGATCTCTGGGTTCTGGGCTAGCCTGATCTACAAAGTGAGTTCTGGGACAGCCAGGATTAAACAGAGAAACCCTGTCTTGAAAAACAAACAAAAAAAGAAGAAAGAAAGAGAGAGAGAGAGAGAGAGAGAGAGAGAGAGAGAGAGAGAGAGAGAGAGAGAGAGAAACAAAAAGAAATACTTCTGTGTTGTGAACATTCCGGGTATAGATTCAGCTTGAAATGACCGGACCTTTTGGGAGTCTGTTAATCAGGCTGACGATGGTAAGTAGTTACTTCTACTTGAAAAGGGGAACACTAAAGCAGAAGCTTTGTGTTTTGAGACAGTGTCTCACTCTTGCAGGCTGGCTCAAAACTCACTATGTAGGGCAGGGCAGGCCGGTGGAACTCTGGGTAGTCTAGTGCTGGAGTTAGAGGATTGAGCCACTACACCCTGCTGCTTGCTCTTCCTTTCTTTCTTTCTTTCTTTCTTTCTTTCTTTCTTCCTTCCTTCCTTCCTTCCTTCCTTCCTTCCTTCCTTCCTTCCTTCCTTCCTTCCTTCCTTC